GCCGCCGAGGGTTGGCGGCCTGGGCACAGAGCGGCGCGGTGGCACCAGCCCCATCCTCCTCAGGCTCCAGCGGTACCGCAACCAGAGGCTGTGGAAGGGGGGAAAGAGGGGGAATAGAGCCAAAGGGGCGGGGGAGGCCTTTTCTGCCAATGCCTTGCCTTCCCTGAGCCTCGCGCCCGCAGAACGTGGAATAAGAGGGAAATGGTACGCACCCAGAGCAGAGCAGGTTGCCCTGACCAGTGCCAACCTGGTGAGATTTTGCGGGCTGAGTATGTGCACTTGGTTTGTAAGAATGTTCTTGTTTCAGCGTTAGTGCTGAACTAACCTTGGAAGGGAGCAATTTGGAGGAAGTCAGAGCCTCTGATCAATGCTTATGCCCTCTGCCAGAACCCAGCTTGCTCTGGGGAAGGGGCTGCTCATTGGTGATCCAAGATGCGAGTAATGAAAAACAAACCCACGTAGGATTCTTTAAGTCTGCATCCAGACACCCCTGCATGTCGCCCCACAGGTAGACGGGTCTGTTGGACTGAGGGGAAGGAGTGAGGCTTCGGGTTACCTCTAGTACTCCAGCCAGCCTTCCCCATTCCTGGGCTGCTCGCTGTGTCCCATCGCCCAGCTCCACACGAGGGAGCGCTTACAAAACGTTCATACTTGGTTCTTAACCTCCCAGCCTGAAAATCCAGCCAGCGGCTTGGGAGGATCAGCTGAGACAAAATGCCAGTTAGAAATGAATATTACTAAGCTGTACAAAAATGGCACCATGAAGATACTTATGCAAATGCAGCCCTGCGGCCTTCTCTGTTCTGGCCTCATCACCAGAACACCCCCACTGCCTTCATGCAACCCCCAAAGGTGCATGCCTGACAGTCATCCTCCAATCCCGTAAAAGCCAAGAGATGCCAAAATAATCTCATTTTATTCCCTTTTCTCTTTCCTCATCCCTTCTTCCATGATTGGTTTAGCAGATTGCTTAAATCCCCGGCTAGTGCTGTAAACATGGTGCTGTGAAAGGATCTGGATGTGCCACCACAGGTGGCAGCCCAGATGAACTGAAGTGAGGATGCCGCAGCGCTGACTGCTGAACAGTGGCTTTGATGTTACCGACTCCTCTTGCCCGAGCCACATCGAAGGGATTTCCTGCCTGAACAAACCCAGCCTTTGTGGCTGAGGGACTCCTAGAGCGCCTCAGAGAGGGAAGCTCATGCCAGCCAGGTCCTGGTGCAATCACCAAGATGGCTGCTGGGTCTCGCATGGGCAACCCCACTGCAGCAGTGGAGATGTGCACAAGCGGCAGCCATTGCCGTAAGTCAGGGTTTCTTCTGTCGCACTGTCGTGACCAGCCCTGGCCTGAACCAGCACTGGCTGGGTTTGGCTACCACTAATCTCAGGATGGATCAAATCTGAAGCAACAACAAGAAGAATGTGCTGCCTTACTCCTACTACCGCTACAACCACAGCGACATATGGAGGACAGTGAGCACTTACCTGCCAGGCTTTGCACAGGCAGCTAAGAGGCGAGTGACTGTCCCTGCTCTGAGGATTGCCCCACCAGACCCTGCCACCACCTCCTGGTGGCAATCAGGAGCTGAGCTTTGGGCAGTCGCTGTCACCCACCAGCACCTCCCTTCACTTGGCCTCCCTCGGGCTCTGGGCGGAGCAGCAAGGACGCGTCTGAGCTCCAGCGTACCTTGCTGCACCCTGCAGTTACTTCCCGGCACACAAAAAGTGTGCCAGCAGCCCTCCCTTCACAGCATGAGGTGAGAGCTGGGAGCCCACCAGGCCTTACCAGGAGAGTTGTCCGCACCCTGCGCAGGGCCAGGGCTGTGGTGTTTCCCATAGTAGCAATTGTGGCAGTGACGTGCTTGGTCTTGCAGCGCTGCACCCAGTGCAAGGCGAAGAGCCAGGCCATCTGCACACAAGCAGGGCACAAAAAAAATTATTGCAGGCATCCAGTGCCAGCATGGCACGGCCCAAATAAAAGATTTGCAGATGCTGCTCAGGCAGGATTAGGCCTCCAATGTGCTAAGTCTCGGCTCTCGGCAAGCCTAATTGCTGCTGCAATAAGCCCTGGCTGGTCCTTCCCTGAACCATCCTCCCCACGGCCCCCCCGTCAAACATTTTTTTTTGCTGCAAAGCTTTTATTTGCCATGCATATGTTCCCCCCCCACCCAGCGGGGCCTGGCTGAGCAGAGGAGGGGAAAGGCAGGAAATCTGCCACTTTTATTGCTCTGCTCTTCCCAGCCAGTATCCCATTGCTCTCCCCCTGTCCAGCACAGCCTGTGGCTGCCTGTATGCAAGGAGCCAGGCCCAGCAGCGGAGGCTGGGACAGGTGGCAGCATCGTTACACAGCCGCACACCCTCCGAGCTGTATTAAGAAATGTTCCAAATTGGAATTACTCAGATTTTAAGAAAACCTTTTGATAATTTTCCATTACATTTTGGCCAGCAGATGAAACTGGAGGTGTTCCAGGAGGCACGTGCATGGGCCAGTTCAGCCCAGGCATAAGATGAGGATCTGTTGCAGCCAGGAGTTGGGCAGTTGGATTGCCACAGCGCCCTTGTGCCTCGCTGAGGGTGCTTGTGCGGTTGGGACCACGTGGCTGCTCTGTGTGCCTCCCCAGAGGTGCCCTCAACGGTACCTCCCAGCATGTGTTCACCTAGCCCAAGTGAGCAGCTACTCCTTGTATTTAACCACAAGAGACATGGGGACACAGGGCCCAACTCTGCACCCTCCAAAGCAGCAGGGAGGAGAGCACTGCACAGAGACTCGAGAGGCAGAGTGCCTTTCTTGCCGTCAGGGCAGGAGACATTTCAGTGAAGAACCTCACACCTGAGCTGTATTGAGAAGGATTTTCAACAACCCTTGGGAGAATGGAGCAACTTTCTCCCCGTGACTTCCCTCAGGAACTGGCTGAGTGCTCCGTTTCGGACCATCTCCTAACCCATCAGCTGTGGTTTGGCTCTTTGACTGGCACAAATCACTCACCTTCTAGTATGTGGAGGCCATTGAATGAGACCTCAGTTCTAGGGAGATACACAAGGGGTTTGCATTGCCCCGTTGGAACAACTACACTGCCTCAGCAGAGCTCTCCAGCCCGGTTCAGGCACCGGTCTGCGGCGGACCTGCTCAAAGCTAGCAACTACCACGAGATGTGCCAAAGGAGGGTACAAATTGCAATGCAGAGCATGAAAACCAAAGATACACCACAATTTTATTTATGGATATGTAATAAATAAATGGTGGACAAAACAGGAAGAGCCACATTCAAAAATCCAGATCACTAAAGTGCTTTTAGACATAAATATAGGACAACCAAGAAACAGCTCTGACATTAACACTTTTTACAGACAATTACAAAATATCTTCTTATGTCAATTCACAAAATTGTTCAATTGCTCCAGGGTACTATGGCTTGGTTTTCAAAAAAGTCTGTTCTATTATGCATAGTATGGCAGATAACATTCAAGAGTGTACAAAATCATTGCATAAACAAAAATGTCTTTACCCCCTTCTCCCAAATATGAGTTAAGGAAGCTACACAGTGTAAATCCAGTGATAAGGCTGCATTGGCAGGCCAGATCCTCAGGAGGTATAAACCGGCACGTCTGTCAGGTTACACCAGCTTGAGGATGAACCCTATCATGTTTAAAAACCCTGCTGCTCCTCGAGTTGGAATTATGTGTTCAAAGCGGAGGGACTTGCCACGTGGGCACTGTGCAGGGGTGGAAGTGCTCAGAGAAGACGTCTGTAAACTCCTGCACCGTCTTTGCACATGGCCTTTGAGAAGGGAGTGACTCCCATTGCATTGCTGCTCTTTGTGCTCCTGGCTGGCCGGGGAAGCATTCACAGCCCAGAGGGGAAGGGTGGCTCTTCCCCAGCAACGGTCCACGCTGACCACAACACGGTCTCGTTTTTGTACTGTTCTTGGCCCCGCTGGGACACCTCTCCCACCCTCCACCCTGGCTCTGCTGAGAAGTGAACAGCTTGAACGTGAGGGAACAAGGGGATGTATGTGCCAAGTTTTAAAATGCCCTGAATTCAGAAAAAAGTTCAATTATTTAGGAAAAAAAAAAAATATCAATAAATCAATAAATATTATTATCTCGCCAGGAAGCTGTGAGGTCTGGCCTCCTCTGGGACAGCCCAAGCTCAGTGGTCCCTGTCCTTCTGCTCCGTGGGGGAGTCCCCATTGATGCACTGCCTCAGTACACCCCTCTTCTCGTTCTTGGCTGTCCTGGAAAGGTCGATGGCTGTGTTCTCCGAATCTTTTGCGACGCCAAGCTTGTCGGAGCCCCTCTGGGAACTGGCCTGCTTCCCTTTGAGTTCCTCCTCCTCCTGCTCCACTCGCCAGCCATCTGCCAGCTTCTCTTGGCTCTCCGCCTTCCTGCTCACCTCCATGGATTTTTTGTGCATGCCTTGCAGAGGGGAGAGAGCAAAGCCAAGGGCGCCAGTTGCTTATTTCTGCCTGGGACCGCTTAGCATCACCTCCTGCCCTCCTGCTGCTTCCTTCAGCTCTCGCTTGCATCCCGAGGAAAACTCACGCTAGCTACCAGCCTTTCCTGAGCTGGAGCCCTGCCACCTGCACTCTGCAGCCTGAGAGGATGGCTTGCGGCAGAATTGGTCCGTACCTCCCCTGCAGCGGGGAAGACTTAGAGGGAGAGAGGTGGTGTGACAGCCCATCCCAGCCTGGATTTCGAGTGCCACCTCAGTGTAGGACTGTGTATGAGCAGAGGGTAGCTCTGAGTTAGCATTAACATTATCTTCAGTTTGGGGGGAACGGTGATGACTTCCTAGACGCCCTGCAACTCCCACGCTGGCTGCTAGCACTAGAAAGCTACACCTAACCACCTGTCTGACACGGCAGTAAAAGGTTTTCCCTTTCCCAGCTGTTCTTTGCAAGGAGGGAGTGGAAAAGCCAGGGTGCTTGGCAGCCTGCATACAGCTCATGGCTGAGGCCCCGTTCTTTTCTGGGAAAAGGCGAGGATGGCCATACGAAAGAGGAAGGGCCGTTGGCTCTGCAGCTGCCCCCCAACCCCCCAGCCCCAAGCTCCCACTTACCCAGCAGCCATGGGGCACAGGATCCCACCAGCCCGCTCTTGGCGGAGTTGATGATGGACTCGGGCAGAGGGATGGAGTGCCTCACCATGGCCCCGTAGAGGCCGTACTCGGCCATCACGCTGCTCCGGCCCCAGCACTTCTCCCGCTTCCGCCACTTGGCTCTTCGGTTCTGAAACCAAACCTTCCGGGGTAACAGCCAGGAGAGCACGGAGGGATGGGATTGGGGAGGAGATAGCCCCCACGGTCAGGCGTCCAAGGCCCGTCGGGCACGGGGGAGCGTGCGTGCGGGGCAAAGGGGCAGCCATGGGGATGTGTGGAGGGGTTTGGGTGTGCGAGCGCAGGGTGCAGACACGCAGGTGGCAGCGGCAGGGTGGCCAGGGTGGTGTGTGGGGAGGGGGTTGAGGGAGGGCACACACGTGGGTGTCAGTGAGAGAGGGGAGGAAGAGGGGGAGAGGGAGCACACGTTACACGAGGCTGATCGTGAAACAGGAGGGTGATCCCAGCCAAAGTCACCCTACATTCCGCCTGCCCGCAGGGCCCCTCTGCTGCCTCTGCACAGAGCACCAACTTCTCCAGAAAAAGGGGTCCATAATGCAGTGACCGATGACAGAGGGTGCTCAGGTCCCTCTCCCCACCCCCTTCCTGTGTTCTAAGTCTCAAGGGGTGTAGATACAACCTGGCTGCTGCCCAGACTACCACCCTGTTCTTAAGCCAATGAGCTGCTCCACAGTGGGGCAGGATCAGGCCCTAAAATACCATGTGTCCCTCAAAGGGACAGGCTAGTGAGACACAGCTTGGCCAGGCAGCTCCTGAATCACTCTCAGCTCCTGCCTGAATTGGGTCTCTGGAGGACAGAGCCGAGCTGCCGGCAGTGAGCAGCTGTCGGGGCCAGCTCAGTCCCCTGGTTCTGCATTTCCATTTGGAGCCTGTTCAGTGCCGGAGGATGGAAGCTGAGCCGCC